AGTGTAAGCACTGAGCTGTTTAAATGCTAGCAATCCTCCTTTCTTAGTGACGCTCGGCGTGTACTCAACCTTCCAGGTATTGAGTCATAAAAATCTGTTTTGTTGTGTTAGATATTTTTCGTGGGACCTGACGTGCTGATAGAACGTGGCTTTTATTTTTCCATCTGTGGGGATGTCCGTAGAGTTTTTCCTCACTTTAAAGCAGGAAGCACTGGAAAAAAGTTATTGAATTAAAGGGAAGAGCCAGCGTTGAGAATGCACCAGAAAACCAGGAGGCAGGTGAAACGCTTCAGAGTGAACTCGTCTGCGTTCAGGCGGTGGGTCCTGGTGCTCTGAACCCAAAGGTGTGTTCGGATGGAGCAGAGGCCGGGCTGCATGGCAGGAGAGGACGCTGCAGGTGAAGGCTTTGGGATCCAAGAGGCTTAGGCAGAAGGGGAGCTGTGAACACCTGTGAGGGAGAGAGGAGAAGCCTAACTACAGGCTGGAGCGTTTTAATGTGCTGCCAAGTGTGCGTCAGCTGAAAAACAAGACCCAGCATGTGACCTTCCCATTGCAACCAGAGTGGTCCCATTGCTGTGGAGAAACAATTGGTGTGAGCTCAGCCAGCTCCTTGAAGTGACTGTTAACGAGTTCGGTTCAGTATTTATTCAGCCCTGCTGGAGAGAGTTAGTTAAATGCCTGAAGTGAAACTGCTTTCTTTGAGCTCGCATGTCGGCTGAAATAAGACTTTTAAATTAGTAGCACAGATGGCACTGACAAGGAAGCATCAACATGTCAAACTTGGGGAGGTCCGTGAGTGTTTGTCCCTGGCTGAGTTCCTCTGGCACACGGGCTGCCCGGTGCCTGCCACGGGGACCTGGGGGGCCCTGAGCGGTTTGGGTTCAACGCGGCAAGGCCGGCACTGCTGCGAGACTTTCCTTTTGCGTTTTACTCCGTCTAGCCGCGCTTGCTGCTGTTTTGCTGTTCAGAGAAATCTGGTGTCTGAACTTCCTGATGCTTGATACGTCTCTAAAGAAACGCAGAATCCATCTTGCAGCTGTAAGAATGAGGCTTTTGAGTTATTGCTGTTGGAATCAGACTTTGAAACGAACACTTGGAGGTGCCTCACAGGGTACTTGTGTCCATACCATGCTTGGTGCAGTCAGTAGTTACTGAAAAATGTATGTACAGGTGACTGTTTCTGCCTCAGTTCACTTCAAAGTGTTCTTCAGGCTCTTGGGACAGGTCTTTTCTCCAACTTGTGTTTTAAATCTAAATTTTTCAGCTTGTGTTTTTGCCTCTGATCTTGAACCAATCTAACTTCTCTTCCTCGCGGGAAGAGTGCAGCAACTCAGTCTGGCTCTCTCCAAACTAAGTCCTTTCCAAGCTAGTCTTTTCCTGTAGGAGGATCTCCGTGCTCAGCAGCTTTTTGTGCCTGGGGCTGAAGATGTAACTTCTCCCTGCTCCACCAAGTGCCTTTCTAGACCCAGATCAAACGCTTTGTACTCATGTAACTTCGCTTTTGCGCCAAGCACTTTGTAAGTGCAGGCCAAACGCACCGTGTCCTCTTTGTGGACGTAAAAGCTGCCATTAGAATTTCAGCCAGTGACTTGAACTGTGCATTATGTGGGTGATGTGAGTGTAGTGAGAGTTGAGTACGCTGCCTACTACGTGTTTGCAACCCCGGCTGGGGGCTGAGCTCCCCCGGAGGCTGATATCCTGCAGATATCTCATGGGCTGTCACGGCGCAGAACTGGCAGTGCCGGTACGACACGCTGCCGTGTTCCCCTCCTGCCTGCCGTGAGCTCCGTCCTGGACTGCGCTGCCTGTCTGAAAATACTCGGCTCGGCAGGTAGAATCCAGGTAGGAACTGCTCATGTCGTATCGTGTCGGGGGTGGGAAGGATGCTGCAGGGAGTGCCGGAGTTCTGGGCGTGCTTGTCCCGGGCAAGGCAGCCCTCACGCAGCGGTGTGGTGTGCTTGTCTGTCCTGTTCAGGAGCTTTAGCGTTAGGGTGAAGAACTGGGTTCACGTAACAAATGGAATTTGGTTTTATTTTTCTCCAGATGCGTTCCTCCGGGTCAGTGTTTCTGTTGCTTGCTTAGAAGTTTAACTTGTGGGATGTTGTCCTTCCTGTGAGTTCTTGATCTAAGAAGTGGGCAACCTCCCTCAGAGGGATTTTTATATTTTTTTTTTAGTCCAGCATCTCTCAAAAGCCCACATTTATGTAAATGAATTTGCCTATACCCCTTCCTCCTTCTCAGTTAACTTTGTAAAAATGTAAAGGTCACAGGCAAAGAAGTGCCTAGCTTGTATTTCTGTTTGGCTTTCTGAAGCATTAGATTCAAATTTAACTATCACTAAGTTTTTAGCGTCGGCATTATGAAAGCTTGTTGAAAGCTTGTTGATATTCTGTATAGCAGGTCAACTCTTTTCCATCCTACACGTCCTACATCCTTTTGGATTTTTTTCTTTTTTCTCTCCTTGCACTGTACTGAGCTGTTTCTTTCAGGATATGCAAATGCACTTCTTGTTACTGAAACTGCACCAAAGTTGAAAATACCGAAACCTGTGCCAGAAGCATTAATAACACGAGTGCCACTTCTGCTCGGAGATGAAATTAGCTCCTCGGTGAGCTGGTTAAGCTGCGCAGTGGGCATGACAGAGCCAAGAAGCAACTGCTCCAAAGCGCTGAAAAGTGGTTTTTGTCCTGTGCTCGGAGCACTGCACAGTTTTATTTTACTTACAGAGTAGGCATCTGCTGGAGGTTGTGCTCAGACCGACCCGCCGTAGCAGGAGGGAGAGGTTAGGGAAGCATGGGGAGCTCTGGGGAAACTGGGTGCAGGAGGTAATTGGGGTTTTTTTCCCCGAAGGGAAAACAAACAAAAGTAGCAAGTGAAACCAAATAGCCTGTTCTCTTTGGGATTGCCAGGTGGAGCTGCCTCAATCCAAAGCAGGATTTTCAAATCCCACCTCAGAGGATGAGCTCAGGGATATCCCCAGTCCCCGTCACCATAGGGCACAGGCTATATTGCACCAACAGGAGCCGTTTGATTCCGTGTAAGTGTGTCCCGTCAGAATCTCTGAAAGTTACGGGGTTTTTTGTGTTGGTTTGGTTTTTGTTCGTTTTTGTGTTGGGGTTTCTGTTTTGTTTTTTTTGCTGAGGTACTAGGTAAAGGTAATGGCTCTATGTGGCTTCCCCTGGCAGGAGTTGTACTCCAGCGGCTCCAGCACTGCTTGGGGGGTTAGTAAGTTGATGGGAAAGACTTAATTAGTGGGCGGGCCATTAACCTGCTTTGTAGGCCAGCGTTTTCACTTTTTCTTGCATAACTGAAATCAGCCTGACAGGTTCCTCTGGTCACAGCCGTACGAGCAGTCGAGCTGGAGGGAGAAAGATGTCTCAACTCCTGCGTTATGTCACGCTCAGCGTTTGGTTTGTTCTGCTCTGCACCAGCAAACCTGGAGAGAGCCAGCTCTGTCCCCCAAAGTGGCGTAGCAGAAGGTGGAAAATGCGGAATTTGTCGCTTCCGAGCGCGTTAGTGCAGTTACAGTATGTGCTATTAAAAGATGATTAAACGAAGCTGTGCAAACACCAGCTGGTTTTCTGGTAAGCGAGCGCTCCAGCAGGATTTGAACTCGGAGCGTAGGTAGGCGGTGCAGTGGCAGAGCTCGTGGTGCCGTCCGCCCTTTTGGCTGAGTGGGAGGCAGCGGAAAATAAAACTTCCCCCCTCCCTGAACTCTGCATCTCCTCTGGCCTCCAGCTCCAGGGCTGCTGCAGCCCGAAGAACAAGCGTGTGGTGCTGAGCAGAGGGCTCCAGGGGAGGAGAGACCTATTCTGGGGGGTTGTGTGTGGTATGCAAATAACATTTTAATTGGCTGTACGCCTCCTGCAGCCTGATAAGCCTTCGGTGAGCCAGGGAGCTGGCTGGCAGCTCGGTGGGTTTGAGGGCCGAGCAGCTGAGGCTTCTCGGAGCAACAAAAGTCGTCTTGGCGGGGGTACAGGCTCGCTTGTTGGTCTGAAAGCAGAAGTCAAGGCTCTTGAACTGTGCAACCAAAATGTCTTAAAGTAAAAACGCTGTGATCGAACTTCTCGAAGGTGAGCAGGGAGCCTAATGGCACAAAATAGGAGGTCGTTGCCTGGCTGTTTCTCTAAGTACCCATTTGCCCTAACAACAACAACAAAAAGACTGAATACACTTCCATGAAGAGAAAATGCAGCACAGTAGTTAGAGTACCTGGTCTTGAAGATTTGGCCTTGGTTCTCTAGTCAAGTGCTGAGAGGTCCTGATCAAACTGTTGCTGCTTCTGCTTGTACCTCAGTTCCTAGGAGGGTGTAACGATGCTGAACGCTGCCCCGTGTTAGAGCTGCAGGTGAGGATTGGCCCGTTGGGAAGGTGAGCATCCTGCTGCATTTTCTTAAATTGCAAAGTCCAGGCTAAAATGTGAAATTAGGCTGGCGTTTTCAAATCGACAAGTCTTCCTCTGTATTCGTCTCGTGGAAAACGCCAGTTATGCAGCTAACTCTTATTATTCTAGGCAGGTGTGAATTCCCACAACAGAAGGTCTGTTTGCACGTGTATAAATGCCTCTGTTCGCTGCAAAAAACAATCTATAAAATGCACTGTGCATCACATCTTGGTGGGCGAGGACCACGAGGCTTCTTAGCACTAATTATCTTAAAGGGCAGTTTAAATAGAATGCCAAGCCTCCGCTTATCTGAAGCGCAAAACTGAGCCTGTGTGTGCTGGGAGGTGGTCTCCCGGCTTGGTGGCTTTTGTCCTGTTATATAGTGACTGATACCTGGGGTTTGTTCATGGTCATCTGCTTTTTGGAACCCCCTAGACCTCAACTACTGGTAGCAATAAAGCACAGATGTGAGTCCCTTTGCCAGAGCTCTGTGAATGGTGCTTGGAGCGTGTGCCTGCTCTTTAGGTAAATCAGAATTGAAGTTGAAAATAAAAATGCTGTCCTCGCCAAAGCTGGATTGACTTTCTCCTCTTGTTCTCTTACAGGTGCCTCCAACCAGAAATCATGACCCGGCACTTCTCGCTTCTCTTTGTTCTTGGGACTGTAACATCTGTGTGTTCCCAGTTCAGTTTTTACCCTCTGGAGGAACTTAGCTCTGATGTTGGAATCCAAGTCTTCAATCAGATAGTGAAAGCTAAGCCTCAGGACAACGTTGTCGTTTCTCCTCATGGGATCGCGTCGGTCCTGGGGGTGCTGCAGCTCGGTGCCGATGGCAAGACAAAGAAGCAGCTGACAACTATGATGAGATACAGCGTAAACGGTCAGTGGTTCCCCGGGTGTTCTCGGGTGTGTTGTGCCAGAATCTTCATGCTAGTCTGAGGTGGCTTTCCAAGTGTGGTAGGTTGCATCACCTGACAATTAGCTCTGTTTACCAGAGCACCAAATGGACACGCTTGAAGTTAATTGGCAATTTGAGTAGGGACGGGCACATATGCTTGAACTGGCCTACAAGCAGCCTTGCTAATGACTTCAGGGCCCGGGCTGGAACTGCCTTCGTCCTTGAAAATTGATTTTCCAGAACAGGGTGGTGATTTGGTGCCAGCAGAGGCAGGAAGGCTTCAGTCCCCTGCCTCGGGCTGTGCTGGGCAGCTCTTAGCGTGCCCCTCCTTAGGTAACAGGGCAGGAGAATATTTCTTGTCACCACACCGAAAGCGATGCAAGCTCTAACCACACGACTGATCCTTCTCACTTTGACATTGTGCATCTGTGTTTCTGCCAGTCTGTAGTTCTTGCAGTGCCCTCCTCTTGAAACAGCCGTTTCTGCTTGTCTCTGTGCCTGACGCTGCGGGCTTGTGTTCTTCTGCCAATGTCTACCCCTGGAGAGGGTGTAGGCTGAAGGTTCTTGCTGCTGTACTTTGCATGCTGAGTATTTTTGTGCGTATTTGCCGGCAAGACTTAACATCTTAGTGCCAGCATTCTGCCTTCCTTCCAGGAATAGGAAACTCTCCGAGAGGTAAGCACGCGTTTAAATCTTGAGCAGTACCATCACGCCATGTGTCACCCTGTCTTCATTTGCTTTGCTGTTTTGGTTCTGGGTTTAAAGCGTGGCAAAATGATTTGTCAGATTAAGATCTAAATGGTGTAGGTTGAAATCTCTTCACGGGATGATCAACTCCAGGAACATTTGAATGCCTAAAATATTAAGTACTTGCAAAAATTTTGAAGCATTACATCAACTGGTTTTATTTGGCCTGCAGACTTTCTGTTCCTAAGTGTGAGACACAGAGGTTCTCAAACTCCTCAGAAGGTAGCCAGTACCTTGTTGCAGAGACCTGTTACGGGATGCTACCAAGCTCTTTGCACCAATCTGCTCTGCTCTTGTTCATGATTGCCTCACAGTCCTTTGGCAACTGCTTCTTTGGAAAGGTAACAGTGGGAAAGTGTTTAATTTACCTTTAGCTGTCTTTTAATGCAATTTAGCAGCTGGAAGCAAAGAGGAGAGCCAGCAGCATGAGACCAGCCAGCTCTCCCCGGACCACAAGCAAGTGCTTCGTGGACCACCAGTGGTCCACAGAATACAGTTTGAGAACCTCTGTTATGGTATGTTCTCCAAAAGAGTTTGCCCCTAATGTTGGAGAGTGAACATGTAGGAATTCACGCAGACGGCGCTGCTGACGCTGTCGCAGTACATGAAACAGCAAAGCCATCTGAGGCTTTTCCTGACGTGCGGGGCTGAGAGAATAACTCTGAGCTAATTCGTTCCTTCATATCTCTTATCGCAAGTTTGCCTACATGAGGAAGCAGTCTGGAGTTGGTGCTGCCTAACTTGTGTGGGGAAGCAGCGGGAGCCCGTTGATGGCTGCTGCCGAAACAGCCGCACGAGGATCCCCTTGAGAGCAGTGGTTGAACGTGACGCCGCTCGCCTGGCGAGAGCTTTGCGGTGTCGACAAGCGCCCGTCCCTTCCCGATGGGGAGAGCTGGAGGTGGTGAACCAGCAGCTCCTCTGCACTGCCCTGTGCGCAGGGGGGGAGCGAGCAGGCGCTCGGCACGGGCTGCTTCTGGGTCCCAAGGCTCTTGCCAGTGAGCACTGGAACCTGCTGCTTTCCCATGTTCTTCTTGTAATGTGAGCTCGTGTACTAAGGCATTGATTCCTGCTTGTAGCCGATTTAGGCCAAGACCTAGTCTGTAAGGCTTGACTTGAACCTTATTATAGAAATCCTGACAGTTTCCTTCGCTCCCCAGTGAATGGAGAGGAAGGGTGGTGGGTGAGCAGCTTTTACTTTGCACTCCTGAGGTTCAAGACCACCTGCACAATCCTGCAGACCTGTTTGCTCCAAGCAGCTGGGCTGAACCCAGAACTAACAGGTGACCTGGGCTTATATCATACAAAATGCACTTTAGAACAGTCTCTGCCGTGGAAGAGCATGGTTCGTAGCTCCACTTGAACCTGGTGCTATCCCAGCACTGCCCGTCACATTCTGAGCAGAGAGCATCATGGTGAAGGTCATGTTTTACTGGGACATGGTAGCGTTCTTCAGATAAAAGATCAGAAATCGGCATTTCGGAAGGCCTCTTGGAATGCCTGCTTGGTCTCCTTTTCCGGTCCAGCGCTTAATGTCTGACCTTTCGTGTCGTTAATAGTTGCATATAAAGTAACTGTTTGTTCGTCATCTTATTCTAAATCAAACTTGCTGTTCTTTCCGACTAGGCGTTGGTAAAGCGTTAAAGAAGATAAACAGGCTCATAGTCTCAAAAAAGAATAAAGACATTGTTACAATTGCTAATGCAGTGTTTGCAAAGAGTGGCTTTAAAATGGAAGTGCCTTTTGTTACAAGGAACAAAGAGGTGTTTCAATGCAGCGTCAAGAGCGTGGACTTTGAGGACCCAAGCTCAGCATGTGATTCCATCAACCAGTGGGTCAAAAATGAAACGAGAGGTGAGTACTGGACTCCTGAAAAGCTGTGGAGCAGTTCAGCTTTTGCTCTTGCTGCCTTAGGCTCTTGCAAGACGTGGCCGTGTTGGGGCGAGTCACGTTTAGTGGAGGATTTTAACTTGACCCTGCCGTGGCAGACCTCCTCGTGGTTTGAGCTTCTTGGCATCTAGGCTTCGAGCTCACGTACGCTGAAGCTGGAACTCGTGTTCTGCAGTATATTTGTCATCTAGGTGAGCTACATGGCTGGAGTTAAAACCAGTGCCTACTGGATGTGAGGAGAGTGTTAACGGTGCTGGATGTGGCATTTGTGAAATGGGGCTGTCACATTCCTTCTCCACCACATCACCGGTTTTGCACAGCAGTGTCGCAAGCCGAGTGCGAGTGGAGAAGTGCTTCTGCTGAAACTATTTCTGCTGTAACAGTCTTCAGGTTCTTAGTGACCAGGTGGCCAGTGTTAGGACAGCCAATACCCAGCCTTTCTTTATTTCTTTTTCCTAGGTATGATCGATCAGGTTGTAGCTCCGGATGACATTGATGGCAGCTTGACCAGGCTGGTTCTAGTAAATGCTGTGTATTTCAAGGGCTTGTGGAAGTCACGGTTTCGACCTGAAAATACAAAGAAGCGTCCGTTTTACGGGGCTGATGGGAAGACCTACCAAGTCCCTATGCTGTCCCAGTTGTCCATCTTCCGCTGTGGTAAGTGCAGCAACACCCACAACTGCCAAAGGTGGTTGTAAGATTTACTCTTCAGACTGGAACAGGAGTTTGCTGTACGTGAGGTGTGTAGTGGCACTGCTTGTTGTAGCTAATGTGGGAGGCTTTGTGTTACAGACATATCTCATACGGGTGAGCTCGCTGTGCACGGTATTTACCAGCTGCTTAACGCTGAGTACTCTGTCAAAGTACTTGCCTCCTCCCGGTGCTTTTAAAAAGAAAAATCTGAAGCACCCAAACCGAGAACTTTGCATGTTACTTAAGCTTTGCCGTGAGAAAAAATATTGGTTTTTTTCTAAGGAGCAAGAGTAAAGAAAAATCGCCAACAGAAACAGAACCCTGAGGTTTGTCTGGTGATGAGCTGTGTGTGGAAGAAAGATTGGGGCAGACTCAATCTGTATTTTACCGTGTAGTGAAGAAATGGGACTTGCACAGTCCTTGGTCCTGTGGGAGCCAGAGGAGCACAAGGACAGTATGTTGGCTGCATCTCCCTAGGTGTGAACCTGCTCTTCGAATTCAAATTGAGTCATGAGTGAAAGAAGTTCCGCAGGTTCAGCCAGATTTCCATCAGGGACTCTCGGAGCACCTGACAGTGTGCTCCACGTGGTGTTACGGCCCTCTGGGGGTTTCACTGGTCAGACCAAGGCTGAAGCTGTAAGAGAACATCTCCTCTTGTCTTCTTTCAAGCCTGGAACTTGCTGCCGTGAGTGCTGGATGCAGGCTGAGAAATGGGCCTGAGAACATAGCTGGCTGGAAATCCACCGAACAAGACCCTCTGTGCTTTTGAAGGCCTGGTTCTGCTGTCAGTGGAGCTCAGCTGATGTAAGAACATTTGTGCCAAAGTCAACAGCTGTAACTTTGTGTCCCAGACCCGTGTATCGGAGCAGATGTGATGTCATACTTCTCTCAAAGCTGCCGAAAGTGCGAGCTGGAGGAGGTGGGGAAGCCTCCTGCAGTGTATACAGCTTGTCTGTGTTGGTTTGAAGAAGTTTATAACTTAAGATGGCCTTTAGCAAGCTTATTATCCTGAAGGCTTTTAATTTTTTTGATTCTGATGCCAGTTAAAGATTCTGGTGCTAGTTACCAACTCCTGCGTTTGAGGTAGAAAAGCTCTTGAGACTAGAAGGGAGCAAGAGGTGCTGCTGTGTTAGAACTCAGTTCAGGTTGGGTATCCTCACACTGATACTCACAAAGGGATCTTTAAGGGTTTAAATTTCTTAAGCACCTTCAATCCCATGAGTTGGCTGTGCGGGTGAGCTCCCTCCCGTTTGCTACGCCTGAGTAGTAACACCAGTAGTAGGAGGTAGCAGATCGGGAGAGTAGTGCTGCGCTGTGGGGCAGTTTACTTCGTGTTCCCGCCCTGTGGCTGACTTTGCGCAACCGCTGGTTGGATCTGTAGGCCCTGGCCTGAGAATCGCTGTCATACTAAAAGAAAATAATCGAGCTGCCAAGCTCGACGCGGTTCCCACAGAAGAAGCGCGACGCCGCCAGTTTTCTAGCAAGGCGAGCTCAGCCAAGGCTGCGCGGCCCTGGCAACGGGATCAAATTTCTGATGAAGATGTCGATTTTTCAGCTTGGGCTGACAAGTGCAGGCTTACATGAAGAAAGGGGGGAAGATAAGAAGATCTTACTGTGTCCAAAAACTTTCCCAGAAACCCTGTTGGTAGTTAATCTGACAAGTTTTCACTTGAAACTCCTGGAAAAAGCGTTTGCTTTGAAGGACTTGGAGGCCGCTTCCTAATGAGATCCTCGTAAAGCAAGAAGATGAACTAAACACACCAGACTGCTTCCAGCCGGAGCTCTGCCGATAGCTCTGGGATGAAAGAGAGTTTGCCCCCAAGATCTGTTCAGTTTGGGAAGATAACCTGCTGTGCTTTTTCTTGCTTTTTTCTTCTCAGTGCTTGACTGGTTCTGGTACAGCTGAGATGGGGAGATACAGCTCATTCTCTGACCTGGTGATTTCTAGCGTGACTATGAGTATTTGCTTCCTGGAGTCATCCCACCTGTGCTCGTTGTCCAGTCAGCATCCCTGCAGAGCCCTCGCAGGGCTGCCTAGCAGAAAGACCTTTTAGAGTCAGTTTTAAGATGGGGCCAAAGCTGTTCTTACCTACTGCTTCATGAGTCTGATATCTTGAGGTAAAAACTGAGATTTAAGGCCGTAAGAATTACCCTCTGCTTATTTTTTCAGGCACTACGAGCACTCCGAACGAGCTGTGGTATAACATCATTGAGCTGCCGTACCACGGCGAGATGATCAGCATGCTGATCGCCCTGCCCACCGAAAGCACCACGCCGCTCTCCGCCATCATTCCCCACATCAGCACGAAAACAATAGGGAGCTGGATGACAACCATGGTAGCAAAAAGAGTGCAGGTTATTTTACCCAAGTAAGTACCGAGAGAACCCGTTTCTCCTTCAGGGAATGTTCTGGGCATCGTGTGTGTGAATCTCCTTTGATGGAGAAGAACCAGAGTGCTTAAAGCGATTTTCCTGTGTAATACTGATCCTTCTTTTTTTGGGTTGTTCCAACTAGATTTACAGCAGTAGCAGAAACAGACCTAAAGGACCCTCTGAAGGCACTTGGCATTACAGATATGTTTGACCAGTCAAAGGCAAACTTTGCAAAAATAACAAGTAAGTTATTTTTTGGTTGTTTTTTTTTTTTAAATCCATAGTGGTCCTTATTCTTTGTTTCTGGGACCGAGTAAAGCGCTGTGTTACCAGTGCAGGTGTCTGTTTTGCCTTGGGTAAGTGTTACCATGACGTTGGAGTTCAGGTTTTTTATTCTGTAGCCAGCCAAGCCTGGCTCCTTCCTTCTCCTGAACACTGCAGTGGCTTTTTTCTCCCTCCTCGTCTTGCGTTACGGCACTAAATCACGCTGGTCCGCTGCTTAAGATGTGATTTTACAACCTGAGCATCTCGAGCGTTGTCCAGAATGTGTGGCAGGATTTTTAATAGTGCCATACCTGAGACTGTAACAAATACTGCAGCGGCAGCGTTCAACTTTTCCCTCAGGTATGTGTTTAGTGGTTCGAGCTGTAGGGGAACTTGAGAACTTTTAGTCCCAGTTAAGTGACTGGACCAAACCGGAGCTGTAAATTTGAGTATCTGAAAATAGGGTGTAGGCATTTTTTTTAACTCATTGCTCCAAAACGTAATTTTAGTTCTGTTCTCTGCTTCTGCTAAACTCCTGATTAGCTTCTGCAGAGAGATCTAACAGAAGAGCCTGCCTTCTGCTGGCTCAATTGGAAAACAAATCCCCGTGTGTCACTGAAAGCCACGGGTCCTGCTAAACACCTTTTTTTTTTCTTTCCCCTGACTCTGCGATAAGTGTGAGTGTAATTTAAAATCAGAGAGCATATTTTTTTTTTTTCACTCATTTATTTAATTCAAAATAAAAGTGCAAGTCAGCTCTTCGAACTTAAACCATCACGTAAGAAAACCGAGTGAATGGGGAGGAGTAAGGCTGTTCTTTGTAATGACTGATGTGATGGTATTCAGAGATCCTACCAGATCTCACTGTCTGCAGCATTTCAGTGGGACTGTAGCAGCTTTTTGTTGTCTGTGGCCCAGCCAGCGTCGCTGCTGGCTGCAGGGCCCTGCAGGGTTCATGCCGTGGGTTACGCTGACGGCCGTTCTCGTTGGCTTTTCCAGGGTCAGAAGGTCTTCACGTATCTCACGTTTTGCAGAAGACAAAAATCGAAGTTAGTGAAGACGGAACCAAAGCTTCTGCAGCAACAAGTAAGCAACTCTCCTGAGAACTGTCGGGCTTGAGACCGTGGTGGGAACGTGCCCTGGCTTCAGATCCCACCGGTTGATGGTTTTTGTGCAATTTCTCAGGAAAATCCCAACTCGCCAACATTGGTCAGGCCGTTGGTGCACTCCAGGCTCACGGCTAGGGAAGAGCCGGCTCACAGCGAGCGCTTTGGCCACCCGTGTGATGCTCCTGGCTCTGCGGGTGGCAGAGAGGACTAAGCCGCTACATCCCAGACTGCCTCCCGGCTTTCTGTGGGTCTTGTGTCCTGTCTTTTTAATACGATCCCTGTAAGAACGACATGTGCCCCCTGTGGCTTTAAATGCCCACGTTGGTAGCTTTTAGGCCTTTTTCCCTACCTGTGCAAGCTTCTAGCCTACACTAGGAAACTTCACTTTGATAAACTGTATAATGCGCTGCGGGTATTTGTTTTGTCTAACTTTAAACCTCTTTTTTCTTTTATTTTTTTTGCAAGCTGCAATTTTAATAGCCAGGTCATCCCCTCCTTGGTTCATCGTAGACAGGCCATTCGTGTTTTTCATCCGGCACAATCCTACAGGTAAGCAGCGTTCATTACGTACTTTTTTTTTTTTTGCTTTGAAGTTGAATTTTGCAACAGGAATGAAAGAAGTCTGGAGAAACTGAGTAACTCTTGCTCTAAAAAAAAGTCCTGCAAGTGTGTTTTTATATGCCTTTAGTATCAGATGATTTGTCTGGAGTACAGCCCGGAGCAGGCTCCCAGGGCTGGGGGAGGCTGCGCAAGCCTGTGCCGAGGTCGCTTCATACTCGCCTGGAAAAGTTGGATTTGCAGGCTGTGGTAACCCTTGTTTTCGTTTTATCCCCCAGGTACGATCTTGTTTATGGGACAAATAAACAAACCTTGACTGTGGAAAAGACTTTTCTTGAAGAAGCACCCAGGCTCGTGTGACGTGCCCCTGTCTCTTCCATACTTTGTCCGCTCCTCTTCGACTTGGCTCGAGAGCTGGCTTTAACCGCTGGCTGGGATTTGAAACGGGAGTCGATGTAGTTCTGGCTTTGTGAGGGGGGAAAAATACGAATTGAAAACTACAGTATCTTCAAAATGTCTAAAAGATTCTCTAAACTACTGAACGGCTACCTATGCTAACCAACCTTCTGAGCTTTTTCTGTATCTACTAAGAATTTTATGTCTGGCTTTTGTGAGAGGATTTTAACAAAGAATGGTAAACGTTGCTGTTAATGTTGGGTTCTCCTCGTGCGTGGAAAAGGTCTAATTTTGTAGATACTGCCTATCAAGATGACTTTTGGTTCCTGAGTATCTTGGTACCTGGATATTCTTGGTAGAAATAGATTAAAAGTTCTAGCAAGTTTTATTTTATATAGTGCATGTATCACTGAGAGTTTTAAAATTAATGTGGTGTTAGACACACATCGCATTGTCCTGTCTTACTGTAATGTAAACTTGTCATTGCTAGTACACACTTTCTATTGGATTTAAATTTTATATTTGTTTTTGTACAAAGGAGGAAAATAAAAACTGCATTATGAACAGTCAGCGGTGTGGATCGTGGATGTGCTGATGGGTGTTTAGGTCCTGGGACATACTTGGTTGAGAATTCTGTCTGAGGAAGGTGAAGGAAGGGTGGTTTTGTGGGTTTTTTTTGTTGGGAGGAGGGAGTTGGGGTGTGGGGTTTTGGTTTGGGGTTGTTTTTTTTTTATGCTGCCTACATGAGAGGTGACTTCTGGGGTGGAAGGGGCTGCCTTGGGGCTGGAGCAGTGTGGGACTATTTCGGAGTAACGGCACTGCTGTCTTGATATTGAAATGAAAGCACAATCTGAGAACTGACTTTTCCAGCTCCTTCTAGTCGCTGTTTGGGGTAAGAATTCAAATATTTAAGGGGTTGGCACCCAAACCGGACTCCGCTAGGGTGTGCACGCAGCAGCAGGGGGTGCTCTGTAAGACGATTTGGGCAAGAAAAAGAGGCAGTGATGTAAGTTTGGGGTTTTTTCACTGTTGGTCTCTGCAATAATTTGCAAAATAAGATGCTTCCTTAGAGTGCTGTGGGTATTTTCCCTTCTCCTCCAAGCAGGCCGGAGCTGGATGCCGAAGAGCCGAGCACGGCTTGGCAGGCGTCAATGGGCTTTTTCAGCCTGAGGGGGCCGGGCTGAGCGATGCGATGGGGAATGTCACACGTAGCAGCTACTTCGGGAGCCTCGAGGTTCTGCAGGACGTGGGAGAAATACGTCACCGCTCGGAAAAAGGGTTTTTCAGCTCTGCCACTCCTAAGCCACATGTCTTGGGGTTTTTTTGGGGTTTTGTTTTTTTCAGTGCTGGCAAAGAAGGTTAACAGAAGCGGGTTTGAACGGAGGTGCTGGTGGTATCTGCCTTTAAACTGGGTAAAAGAGATGAGAGTGAAGGGGAGTGAAACAAGAGCCTGGGCAGGGAGAGGGTCAGGTTAGCTGCTAAAAACTTCCTTTTCAGTAATGCTGTGAAAACCCTGTGCTCTTCAGTCCTGGGAGCTGATGGGTATCACATTTCCAGCCCTGCTCCACGGGTTTGACTCACTGTAGTTTTATTAACCCTCACTGTTGTCACCCAGCAGCTGCTCTTGAAAGGCTTCGGGGAGCCTGCCTGCTGTCTGCAGAGGGTCTGTTTCGATCTGCTCCTCCTTTACTGCCCCTACTCCACGGTTGGATTTTATGGAAAAGGTGGTTTATGTGGGCAGCCCGGCTTGCAGGGCAGGAGGAGGGGCTGGCGAGGAATTGTCCTCAGAGAAGAACAGACAGTGAGACTGGACACTCAAAGCTCAAAACTTTCCGACAGATCTGGAGCGTAACTCTGTGCAGCTCAGGCGCTCTCATTCTCCGTCTGCTCTTCCTGGCTGCTTTCCCTCAGTGTGCCTCAGTTTCCCCACCTTTAAAAGCTGAGGTCCTTCATCAAGTTTTTTTCCATGCTTTGTCAGCTGTTCTGAGGTGGAAGGCCCGGAGAGACTGTCAGCTCTTCGGTAACGTGAGACTGAAGCCCTGGGCAGGGAACGATCATGGAAAATGCTTGTGGTTCCAATCGCTTTAGCCTGGAGCCTCAGGAGGGAGGAAGGGTTTGGTGTTTCCTGAGCCAGGTTTGTAAGGAAGAAAGTGGTCATTCATGAAGCCATTAACAGGAGAAATAGCAGCCTATTAATCTGCTCAACTGCCTCCAAACTGTTTTCTTAACTTCAGAGAGCTGAGTTTCCAGCGGGCGCCCCCCCTGCCTTGCCTCCCCTGGCCCACACGCTCGCAGCCACAGCTGCCCCCACACGAAAAAAGGCTGTTTTTCACTGCAGCCTGAGCTCCTGACCCTCGCAGAGCCCTCGCCTGCGAGCTCTCCTCGGGAAGGGCTGGGCAGTGTTGTGGGTTGGAACGTGATCGTCTTTAAAATCCCTCCCAACCCAAAGCACCCCAGGGTTCCCTGGCTGCTTCTCCAAGGTGCTTGTGGCCCCAGCCGTGTTTGTCCTCACCTCGTCTCTTCAGGCACAGTTCTGGGATGTCCTGGGCAGAGGCAGCTTCCCCCAGCTCACAGGATTTTCTTGTAAGCTCGGCGTTTGCATTGGTTATACACAGACACGCTGTTGCTCAAGTATTTATGTGCAGAAATGACATCTCTGCTCCCAGGGAAGGGTCCTGCCCAGCTCTGGTTCAAGATCGGGCTCGAAGGTGCACGCACACCCCGTGCCACGGTCGCAGCAGCTGCCACAAAACTAGCGCCGAGGGGAGGAAATCCACTGTCCCTCAATTAACCAACTGCGTGGACAGTAACCAGCACGACCCAGCTGCTTAAGAACTTAGCGGATAAAGGCTTCCAGCTGCTTCTGGTTTAAAAGACATCAAGAAACCAGCTAATATATTTCCTGTGACTACACATCCTTCCTCAGTCCGTATCCTTTCTTTAATTATTCCGGGGGGAATATCCTTTTCTTTGCTGCCTTATGGTGGCGCCAGGCCGGCCGGGCAGGGGTGGGCTCCTCGGGATGGAAGGGTAGTGGTCGTGTGTGTATTTAACACCTGCGTGTGTGTGTTTAACACGTTCTGTCGGTGTTTAACACGTTCTATCGGTGTTTAACACGTTCTGTCGGTGTTTAACACGTTCTATCGGTGTTTAACACGTTCTATCTAGCTATAGGATGGGGGGCAATGGTTTTAAAGGGGAGCAGGGTAGATTTGGGTTAGACATCGGGAAGCAGTTTTTACAGTGAGGGTGGGAGACACTGGAGCAGGTTGTGGATGCCTCATCCCTGGAAGTGTT